TGAGCATGCCCAACTTAGATGATCACGAATCTTTTTTTTTCAGCTTGAATTAACCAAGATAACTTGAATGTTCTATGCAAGATACTTTTTAAATTTTGACTTTTTTTTGACTGAATCTAGAAATGGGTCTTGGGTCTTATGGAGGTCTAGTGTGAAGGATGCAGACTTACATAATTTTATGATAAATCTATACCTTGAACCAGACGAGACTATAAGTATCCTTTGGTTTACCTGATAACTTCAGTAAAATGAAGGAACTAAACAGTATTTTTCAGCTGATTATGAATAGCCTCTTATCTTGTATTACACCGAGAGGTTCGGGCTCTTTACCTCAGATCTCAAATATCTCTACAGGTATGTGAATCAGTTTTTTAAATGATAACTAAACAAACACGCTTATATTTAGTACAGATGAAGTTCACCCAGATACTTTCAACGATAGAGAATTTGTTCGCACACATAAGATCATTGGAGAATGTATCGCCAACTCCGGTGTGATTACATACACGATTCAAAGGGAGGAGAAGTCGGAGTCGAAAACCCGAAAATCAGAATTTCAACTCTCCCTACCGCAACTTTTATCCAAGGAAGATGGTTGTCGGCTACTGAGAGATTGGACGCCGTCGCCGAGTTTGAAAAATGGAAACTTTTCCTTCGATCATCGTATAGTTGAACAGTTGGATTTGGACGGGCATGAGATGTACAAGATCAAACGGGAGATTCGCTATTGCAGTCCAACAGGGATTGTGACCAAACCGAACCTGGAAATATATCTTGTCCCAATTGAACAGCTTATGAGCTGTACGTCTGCGCGCATTATGCTTGACAAGTGGGAAGCAAGATAATACAACAGCACGGGGGTTATTCTCAGAGACAGGGGGATATATCAAGCTCTGTGAATTGATAAAGGGGTTTGGTTGGTTAGAATTATCTTATCTGACTGTCTATAAGAAACATGGTCTAAATTGATTTATGTTTTCATCGCGCTAAAGTTTGAGTACGTTTGAATCTTCTATCCCATCTTTATTTAGGAGTGTACATCTAGTGTACTGAGGGGTTATGCTCCTCCTGGTTATTGTTGTCTAGATGTTTTATCATATTAGTAGTGTCTATTCAAAATACCTTCATTCATCATATATTTCATTATTATTTTAAGAATAATTTATATATTATGCTAGATTGGCTTATTGAATTAAACTACACTTATTTATCCCTGTGTTGCTGGATAAAATTAAGCTTATGATTATAGAGATAATACATTGATAAAAAACAGCCTTTGTAAAAGAAGCAAGAGATTACAACGGTAGTAGTATTCTCCCTATCAGAATGAGATCGGACATGGGAAAAGAAGAGAGGGAGGGGCGGGGGGGGGGGGGAAGAGAGCAGAAGCCATAGATCAGGCCTGCCACCAGATCACCTAACCTATCTACCACTGACATATGTTATAAAGCATCTGAGTTCAAGTAGTAAAATATCTATATAAGTACCTAGATCGCTGTATCTCAGGATATACTAGACTTTTAAAAGAGAGTAACCTGATATTCTACAAGGTAAGTGATATGACTCTACATTTGATAGAAATATTTATACTGACTTGACTTCTTCTGTTCTTAGTCTACTCAATCAACGATTGTGTTCTTTAAGAATATAACATCGTACGCAAAAGTAGGTTTAAAATATCATCTCATTACTATAGCTACTATTAAACTGACCTGGACTATATCCACAAAGTTCTATCACTATGTGCCATACTACTATTTATACATGGGGGTGCTCAAGCAGTGGATGCTCCTATAAGGATGTTTCTACACTCAAATGTGTAAAGAAGATAACTCAGAATGTGTGCAACGAGAAAGAGCCTCCCAGACCTGTCATGTTTGAAGCTACTGTTTGTCCAAAATGCCGCTCGTCCCCTGCGATGGGAAAGACTGAAGCGAGAAAAGACACTGAGATTGAGAACTGAGTCCTCAAGTAGAGGCGACTCCAAATTGTACCTCAGAGAAGTATTTGATAATTGATTCCAATGGTTAGATGCCTGTTCAAATGAACCTTTTCATCTCCAAAGCTGAGGCCAGTAATCTTTATCTTAGAGATGTGTATCATATCACTAGATATTATGGCTTAGGTACAATAATATCTCTCCGCTTCTTCTTACATTTCCTAGCTAATTCATCAATTAGCTAGCTATCCTAATAACACACTGTGTTGTCAGTAATCTTATCAAATAAAAGGAGAGGCCGAACACCATGGCTAATGTTGAAATTGTCGCAGTGCAGCGGTCGCGGTGGCGAGTCTTTTATCGGTGCCCTGGATGACATCACATTAACTTTGACTATAGATATGACATACTGCTTCGGTTCGTAGATGAGTGTGATTATATGATTGCGAAGCGCTGGAGGGGGAAGGGGCTATGGTAGTGATCTCGAAGGTTGGTAGGAAAATATTCAATTTGGGTTGAAAATACTGGACGTCTATTTTTGGTCTTTAATCTTATATTTTTGGACTCGAGAGAGAATCTCCTTCAGGGTCTACTCCTTGGGATGCACGGCATATATCATGAGAATTCATTAAAGTGCTTGAGAGCAGACGCTCTATGATTTTAACATACTATACTCGTACAGCATATTTAGACCTGGAAATAAGACATAATTGCCCGGGTAAATATCTACGGCATAAAAGTTGTTTGTTTTTAGGTTCATCGAATGGGAAAATTCCCTAGCATCAGCCTGGTCGGAATCAAAGCGAGGAGTACGAACAGGTTGAAAAATGGCACCGTGCGAGATGGCGATGAAAATATAAGAATATATTCCCTCCAGAAATTGCTCTGTATCGCGTCACATCTCAATTACCGTGGAAGCAATGAATATCAGTGATTTAGTTAGTTCTTCATCAACGTCGAGTCCCATCCAACCATCGAAACGCTCCGCATCTCCTCAACGGCCCTCGGAGCAACGAGACAGTCACAAGAGTTCTCTTATTCCATGCAAACTATACCTCGAGTCCGGCTCATCTGCCAGCGCAGCAGAACGGAAGAAAAATTCTGCAGCATCACAACGCTACCGTGCCCGAGTTCAGGAAAATCGACAGCTAAGGGATGAGAATATATCCCTTCGAAGGGAACATGACGCTTTGAATCATGAGCTGGGCCTTTTACGTCACAGACTTTCAAAATACGAACCTACGGATTGATTACAACGAACCGAGAGCTGGAAAGTTTCTACTCAGTTTGACTGGGGTCAGGAGGTGGTGGAAGAGGCATGTTTCGATGTTCCTATTGAGACTGTGATGTACCCTACAGGCGGTGGTATCTTTTCTCCACAATTGGAGAAGCGTTGCAAATAGACGAAGGGAATTTACGAGAATCCATCAAGATCTACAATGTTTTAGACTTCATATGTTAGTGTGAATCTTCTCTCGAGCGGAAAGTGGATCTAAATTTCGCAACACTCATGTCCAGATAAAAGCCAGACACTGGTTATGTATTTCATTAGAGCAGCTTTGAGTGTAGCTTTAGCCCAACAGACGGATAAGATAGAAATATCTAGGGTGAAGGGAGATCAAGCCCAGCCCGGCAGTTTGAAATCACACTGATTACTGTTTTCGGAATAAATCTTAAGGTACTTCTATCAAAACAGAAAGATCACTTCTTCATGGAACAGTCTAGCCCAGGACTCCCGAGATGAGCCATCCTTCTATATAGATCTCCCTAGATATACGCCTCTAATCTCAAATATCAACCCCGGGTGGGCTATTTGAAAGAGAATACGAGGATCAAACTCCACCAAGGTTTGATATTGAGCTTCGTACCATTTACACTGTTTCGAATTGCAAGGTTGAAATATACGCTTTGAGCGTAGATGTTTAAATGAAATGGTGCTACTTAAAGTTGAAGGTTTTCCCAGACATCCTCTCAGGATTAATCAGATCGCCATGGATACCTCTTTTGCGATCGCTCCAAAGGTTGTTCCTCTAAGCAATACATCTGCCCTGAACGAATACTACAAATCTGGATTTCGGTCACTCAGTTATATTACGCAGCTTTGGATGATATCGAATACACGGCATTCTGTCAGACTCACATCAGGTAGGAAAGCCTCCGTATATGTGCAGTCTCATATTGACAAGCCAGACATAATTTCCGATCTGATCCGCATCTTTCGCAGAACCAAGTCTCAAAGTTTTAGTCGTCTAATAGAGCATATTCCATGGCTGGAGGAATCACCAAAAGAAGAAAAGGTTTTAGAACAGATGCTTCTTACCAGGGAAAAGGAAGAACAGTACGAGAAAGGACAACTTGGTACGTACAATCTATTCTTACACACACCCATGTGATACATATTTACAGATATCTTAGATGTGAATAGCTCTGTCCAACTTAGTGGATTACTCTCCGAACCTGACTCCTTTTCATTTCCTTAGGTGGAACCCATAGAGAAGTACGGAGCTGCTATGTCAAATATTGTTGATACGTCAAAGTCGAGGAAATGAACATTTGTCATAGTTTCGAATCCTTATATCAGTGTGCGTGTGTCTATTATGCTTTATCCTGTTATTTGATTGGATAAATAGATGATTTATAAGCATGTATGTATTATCCAAGAGAATATCCTTGTTGGTTGTCATTTACGAGCCAAAAAAAAGAATATTCTCAGCCCAAAGACATGATAATGGGACATAAAACGCTTGGAATATAGCAGGTCATTGCAAAGTGGTTTCCTAGTTTAATCCTATTGGCTAATAACATATTCAAATCATACTTGATCTTCCGCGACCGACAGCAATGATCCTCCTTCGATGTTCCTCCACATTATTTAGGATTACCTGCTGATTATAAAGACCGGCAGCCTACCGTTATATTTCCCTCTCTGCTTGATAATAGAGTTTCTTAAAATGCTCCCCTCTTTGTGAATATCACTTTGATCAGGGGGTTATAAAAGGTCTATTTCTACCCCTGAGATTGCCTTCGATTGCACATTGTTCATTCAACCGGACATCGAGTTATGGTGAGTACCCGCCCCTCTCACTGGTGACGATGTCATGCTCACAAAAGAAGGCCGCTCCACTTCACGTCCAATTCTTGTACGGGCCGGCAGAAATCGCTTTGAAAACAATACTGTCTTTGAGAATTGAATCTCTGCCACTCTTGGAATTGAGTCCGGAAAAACCTAGTGAAGATGCTAGAAAGTTGCTAGACCTCTGTAACACTTTCAGAAGCGGAAGATCCCAGAAAGTCTGTCTCGACTTATACTTGGGGAATATATTACTCGATCTCAGTTATGATACTGTTCTTATGCTAGCGCTGATGACTTGGCATTTTGATGCTTCATCTTCTGAAGCATCACCGGGGTTGATTAATTTCCTGAAATTGCCTTACGAGAGTGTGAAGAGAATGCTTCAGGAGAAATATCGAAGAATGAGTGGAACGAAATCTTCAGACTTTGACTTTTCGCTTATCCTAAATTGAGTCTTCTCTGGTGATCAAGGGTGAAACATGAAATGAATTGTATCTGCTTTGTTCGAAAGTAATCGAGCTTTCCAAGGCGGTTTCAAAAATCTTCAAGATGTCCCTCGTACCAGTCTTTTAAAATGTTGGGGATATCATATCCAACAATTTCTGCAAGGCTGCATCTTTTCGCATATTCCTACAGGTATTTGTAATGTAGGTACTGGTAAAATGAGCTCTCTTTAAGCCGAGATCTTCTATATGTTGCAAAATAATCGGATCGTCGCTGCTCAGAGGAGTAGATTTTGTAATTCCATATTTCCTAACACCAGTGAGATACCGGCCCAAGAATCACATCATTGAGATCGTTTCTTTTTCAAAGAATCTCGGTTGTGGTCTGGACCTCCATCTAATGCGGCATGTCCGTGGGCTTTTAGTGCTTGCTTTTTTGAAGATCGAAATTTCAAATAAAAGTACAACCTTTGAATCATGATGAAATTGAAGGCTGAATTATAGATAAAAGAATATAGATCCCTCGCAAGTCTTGACTTCAATGTCTAGACACTCATCATCCAAATCAAAAGATGGCGCCTCAAGGTAACTTCTTTCAAATCTGATATACTTTAACACATTGGATTAAACTTATATTCCACCAGAGATGGGACAATCCTTGTCTCCTTCATGCTTTGTGAAAATCGATTTGATGGACTCCGCGACAGACAATCACGCCCCCGTCCCAACTTGCTTCAGAAGCGATGAAGCTAAAGCACTCATGAAGAGTGGGAGAGAAGAATACCGCTCATTTTTTCTTGAGCTGGAACTGTACGATGACCAATGGGCTCTAGCAATGGGGTTAAAAGCACCGGTATCCAAGTCTACGTTGAAGTGGGATTGGGAGGATGATGATGGTCGACATAAACTGCAAACAGCCAGTCCCGGGGAAATTGCTACCCATCTCCACCTCGAAAGCTCACAAAAGCTCATCCACTGCTTCGACTTTCAGGCGGTGCTTTGCAATGCATTTGGCCTTACAATGCGAACAAGGAGTTTGGAACTACAGTACAATAACCTCAGTGAAAGTCTTTACAATCAACTGGTACGCGATCCAAGCTTGATAGTAAGACTTAGTCAAGCTCAAAAGGTAAAAAACAATAACTCTTTCACCAACCAAGCTAACGCCGCGCAGGAATTGGAAATTACTTCCGACCCATTCTTATGCAGTGCAGTAGCAAATGCATGTGCCTGTTTAGAAGAAGGGTCGTACAGTGAATTCAAGCCTGACCTAGATATGTTCACAAGAGGATTACAAAGTGTACTGAATGGATCCGGATCTCTTCAAATCATTTTGGAGGAGTTGAAAATACTTAGATTTCGTTTCCAGAAATACCACCAGCTCGATGGTAAATGGGAACCTTTTGATGTTTCCAACGACCTTTTGAAGGAGATTCGGTCAAAAGAAACATCTGCCTGCGCTGCCGATCTAACTAGGATCGGTATACTCCTCTTCCAAGAGATTTGTGATCAAGACCTCATCCAAAAGACGGAACAAAGTCATGCGTTGAAGAGAAGGTCGGAGAGCCTATCAACCTTGGCTGGGGAATGCATGGTCAGTGGACGAAGGATCAGGTCCCAGATCTACCATCTTGTGAAGGTAATCCAGCACATCTCTTTTCTTGTTCGACCGCTCTAACAATATATTCACAGAAACTCATCAAGATTCGCAATTTTTACTCAGCGACTGCTATTATGACGGGAATGAGCAACGCCGGTTACTCAGTCCGTGCGTTCAATCACCATGCCTGCCTTATCAACTCTCATGATAACTATCGATCATACCGTCACTTCATGGATAGCCAGGGTGCAGTTCCTGCATTGTACTCCATTTTTCCATACCAAAATGAGAGTATCGCATCTCATGTGCTCTCTGCAAGTGCGTCTTATGCCAAGAAATATCATCCGTACATCTTGAAAAAATCTACGAGGACTGCATTGAGAGCATCAAACGAAAATTTCAATTTCCGGCGCCATCGGATGAATTATTCTTCAAATAACGAAGGTGCTACTTACTCCAAGCCTTCTTGGAACTTTCGGATCCTGTCTTACCTGAAGTCTTTCGTTCTCTGCAATCAAGCTTGAATTTCTTGGGTCAAGAAACTTCCAAATCCTGCGACATATTGTTTTAGTTGTGAATAATCTCGATTAAGCTAAACTGTTTGACCTTTGTATATGGAAAAATAATAACAGCGTAGATTAAATCGGATCAACCTCTATCGGATATGGAGATCACTAGCTTTGCCGTGTTCTCGGCTTCCTCTGATGGAACCGGCTTAAATTCCGAGGTATAGAATTGAGACCGAAAATTGAAAATAGTCCTTTTGCTTATAAGAGAGGGAATGCAGCTAAGCTAGGCTTCAATAGAACGAAGGCTCCATACCAGCGAGAAGGGGATGAATTACAGTCCAGTGCAACTTCGCACAGCAACCCGTCGGCATGAACCATTTCCTATAATAACCAGTCGGCCAATCAACACAGTCAGGCATCTCTAATGGCGTCTAGCACTGGAGGAACGTTAAACTACAATACCGCATGTGGCAATCAGGCGTGGGATCTAAACAGCAGACCCACCGAGTTCTTCGGAGACCAAAGCAGCAACGGCTTCTTCCTCCCAGGCCAAGGCCTATCCAAAATCCCAACCTATCAAAGCCAGCCCCAGTCCAATAGCAACCTCTCAACCCTCCCAGAGTGACTTTAAGGCATAAACCTGGCCACCGATGCAACAACCTCCCAAGAAGGCCGTCCAATTCCAATGATTGTTCCAAGCAACGGTCTCTACAACATCAGCCCTTCAGAATGCATGTTCCCTCGCAGCGCTGGACAGCTTCTTCTTATACTAACATCTGACTGTGTGCTTGATATGTATTAGGCATGGTAGCAAGAGCAGGAAATCTAGGAGTGTTGTCGAAGGTGATGGTATTTCCTACACGAATACAGATATCTTCCACGATTCAATTCAATTCTCAAATGGCTCGTTTATAAAAAATCTATCGCGCCTTTACATTCAATTTAATTGTCTGTTACAAAGCAATAGTAAGTAAGATTGTTACGATATCAAAAAGTACACTTACTATAAAAGGCAAAAATTGCCGTAAAGGTAATTCTAGCTTTGATCCTTGGATCCGAGGCCTTCTACGACACAATTGCTCACCCTGTTCTCAGTTATAAAACTCGAATTGTCCTAGAAAACGTTTATCAAGAGGTCATGGGGAGGGAAGTTCACCTAAGTTGGTAATAGAGATATAAATTTTATATACCCGCGGCATAATATCATTTGGATTCATTATAAAAAGGCTATGCCCTCTTCTATTATCTACCTTAATTCACCTTCCCTTTAGCATGGGTCATACAGGGCTGGCTTCTATTAGCCTCATTGTGAGCTGGTGTTGTCTTTTTTTATATGTACTTTATTACCGCCTATTGCGCCACAATCGCACTCAGGTATAAAGAGCCGCATGCTTATTCCTTGATTTAATCTAATCTGTCTCCGTGTATAGAAAGAACACCTCGCGTGATAATACCAACCGAAACCAGGAGCCGGGTTTTCTATAGCACGAGTAAAATCACTCCACGCTATCTATTCGACAGTCACTTGAAATGCCTTGTCCTCAAAGGAATTTATCCACTACCAGGTAGGTTCTATGTCTTTAGTAGAGACTTCCAAGCCAAACTGAGGTTTATAGATGTGGTGCATGCGATGTGACAAGCCTTTGGCTGCCGGAAATCAAGAAGCCAACTGTCATGCCTCCACTGCCAAACTAATGGTGAGAAGTCTGCCTTGGTAATGGTTAAGCTCGGTTGAGGTCCTGTCAGTGGCAGCTATAAGCTCATCTGCTTCTGAAATGAGAACTATCGCTTTTATTATATGTACAGCGTGCCCTAGATTCGGATTGAAGGAGCACAACACTTTATTGATAGAATGATATTTTGCAAGTCCTTTCCTAGAAAACCCGTAAGAAGAGCGAGATACGCTCTTTGATTATTCCTGTTGCCAGAACTTGATAGCTTTCCTTTCTATCTTTATTCTTTTCATCATTCAGATAGTTCAATATATTCTGCATTGTTCCTCTCCCTTGGCTTCCCTCACTTCTGACAATAGTGCTGCTCAGGAGAAGAACTGTGTCTTCCCCTGGGTGTAGACTGAAGAGGGTTTAGCCAAGAGTTACGAAGAACCAAAGAGAACCTGTAGGGCACTAGAAGGTTGATTATAGCCGTTCCATCTCATAGTCTACCCATACGTTTAATATTTGGGTCATAGTAAAGATGATAAATAGGATCCTTAGCTACTCTAGTATCGGCGTTTCTGATAGTATCCACAAATGTACACAACTATTCTTAGTCTTCGAGCGACATGCTTTCCAAAAAAAATCATGTCCTCAGGTGTCGTTTGGGAACAGCGCGTCAATGGTAACACTGGCACCGTACAATGGAAGGAGGGGCCATATGCCGGATCATCATTTTCCTGTGTAGAATTTCCTCTCCAGCTTGCAGCGCTCCGATCTTGAATTCTCCGGCCGGCCGTTCATTCACTTTTTACCGCATAGATCTAGTCACTTTTCAAATCTCTGATATGCAACAGAAGACTTTCAAAATAAAGGAATAAAACCACCCACTTTCTGTGCTGGCCTAGTCTGAGATTTTACAGGTCAAAATTGCGACCGGTCCGATATGGGAATATTAACACACAAGTCACAATATGATGATTAATCATGATGAGAAGAGCGTGACCGGGCTTTCACTTGACAAAAAATTATTATTTTTGACTCTATCTATACTTACCCAGATTTACTTGAAACTTTTCCGTCGGTTGAGCACTGTTCATCTCGAGACACTGTCCACCTCTATGTATACGTGCGACCCTCAAAAGAGGACCCACGGCTCCCAAGAGTGGGTAGTGCAGTTCTGGGGAACGAGGAATGGGTTTGTAAGGCCCACACATATATATAGAGGTGTATAGTGTCTCGATG